AACCTAGAACTGGACCTGGAGCTGGACTGAACCTAGAACTGGACCTGTAACTGGACTGCTCCTGCCATTGTTCTGATGCTGATCCATAATCCAGGTAGAAAAATCTAACAAAGTCAATTCAGGTCCTCTGGACAGAGTATTTGTTGAAATGTTTCGTCTTTTATCCAAAGGACTTCTTCAGTCTGAGGAGCTGCAACAAACTCAGTCTGATAAACATCACCTTCTCATAGTGGATCAACCAGTTTGTTGTTGACATCCAGAACCAGCTGTTCACATGATCAAGGAGGACCATCAGCCTAACAACTGATCATTAATGATCAGTTGTTAATTAACCTTCATCAGTCTGAGGCGTGTCAACAGGATCACCTTTTACTGACACGTTTCAAACCAGTCTGCTGTGGCGCTCTCAGGCCACAACCTTACAGTCTCCGATCTCCCTCAGGTTTCCTCTTCTACACAGAACGCAGTGACCTGTGTACTCCTTCCTCCACTCTTATAGGTCACTCTATGCTCCTCCCTCTTTTGGAAATAAGTGTTGACTACAGCCATTTCCATTCTCTTGGTGAAATCCACCACCACCTGTCCTTCCTGGTTTCTTTCCTTGACACCAAACCTACCCATCACTTCCTCATCCTCTGTTTCCTTCACCAACATGTCCATTCAGGTCTGCTCCATCACAGTGTTTCAGTCAGAGGTTGGGGAACCAGGACGTTCTGATGAGAAATGGACTACTGGAACAACACACACACACACACACACACAAAATGTAAGATTTTTATTTGAAAATAGATTTTATTGTACTCAACATTTATGACCAAACCTGAACAACTTTTTTGAAATTTTTTTTAATTGATTTGCATTTTATTCTATTTTATCAACAACAAAAAAACAAAACAATTGCACTTTTTTCATAAAGTGTGCAGAAATCAAATATGTGTTGATAACGTTTTTGTGAAAAAGTGAAATTTTTTTTGTTTTCTGATGAATAAATGTTGCAGAACGCAGAAACAGAAAATCACTCAAATATCTGTCAACACTCGACGATGTTAAATGTTAAAGCTGGACCAGAAAAATAAATGATTTTTGTTTCTCTCTGTAACAATAAAGCAGTTTGCAGATATGAGAACACTTTAAAGAGCAAGTTTTAGGGCCTCTCAAATTGGCTTTTATGTGAATGTTCCTGTAAAGTCCCTGAGACAAATTTGTTACGATTTGGCGTTATATAAATAAACTGAATTGAATTAAAATTATGACATTTATGTGTAAAATAGTTTAGTTGTTTTGCCTCAAAGCATCTCACTGCTCGCCTCCTTGGGTCGAACGGTGCCTAAGCAGCTGGAGACCAGAACCGATGAGGATGATGTCGGCCTGTACTCCGGTGGTAATCACTATAGTCAGTTTACAGCAGATTAATCAACGCTCTTAATAATGTTAGCTGCTGTTTACTTTGGTTACACAGCTGAGTTTCATTTTTCTTGCTAGAAGCTGCCCTCCACCAGAGGTGGACCAGTTCTGAACGAGCGCCCGGCCCGAAGCTTGACGTGCAGGAGGACGTCGAAGAGACAGATGTTGGATCATCTGTTCTCTTATAATTCCCCTCAGTTCTTTTTTCAATCCGTTCAATGTTTGAAGTTCCATGAAGCGAAGTAGAGACGGCCTGAACGAAGCAGATCAACATGAGGTCAGCACCAGGACGACAGAGAAGAAGTTCATTAATGAAGTTTAAAATTAACTTGTTTTTAATAGTGTTCAGTTTAATTATCACTTTGTGGTGTTGAATAAATAAATACAAATTAAACCTGATGTCTTCATTTTCAACTTTAATGACACGCAATGTTTCACATCATCGTTTAAATCACATGAATTACAGTACTTCATCAATAATCAATAAAATGAACATCGTGCTGCTGCTCGGCGTAATGTTTTTGTGCTATTAGAGTTTAGTGTATTTTTAATTGATGTTTTTCTTAGTTCATATCTTAGATTTTATTACTGTTTGTCTTTTACATTTTATACTTTTGTTGGAGTAACTGGGACCCTGTGGACATGATTTCATTCCACCTCATGTACCACATGTGGTGTTTGACAAATAAATAAACTTTGACTTTTGTAATGTCCCGATAGCTTCACACATGTTGTATACATATTATCTATATATCTAAAATAGATGTTTAATATCCACTACTGAGAAACAGTTTCATTGTGTTGTCACCTCTTGGTCTTTTTTCTTCTTCTTCTTTCGGCTGCTCCCTGCGTTGGGGGTGGCCACAGCGAAGTAAGTCGCACGAAGACTTGGCAGTTATTTTTACGCCGGATGAAGAAGAAGAAGAAGATGTCCTTCCTGACGCAACCACAGACACCGAGCTACCACAGCCTCTGTGTGGAGCTGCATCTAGGACACCTGGAGGAGCAGACGGTGGTTAAGGGCCTTGCTCAAGGGACCAAGGTGGGACGAATGAGGGTGGGTGCAGGTGTGGGTGCTTCACCAACCCCACCCACATTTTTGATGTTGTCAGTACCAGGGCTTGAACCGGCGATCTTCCAATCACAGGCCCACCTTCTCTAACCTCTGCACCACCACTCCCTTACCTGTACTAGTCATTTTACTGCACATAAATACAACCTAGGTGTAGAGACTGTTCTAACCCATGGGGTTTTTTATTGACATGTTATTGACATGTACAAAACATGAAACATTGCTGTCTGGTTGGTGGGACTGATGACGCTCGAAGTAAAAGCCTCCTCATGATGAGGAATTCAAAACAGTTGAAACTGAAAACAATGAGAACTCTGTGGGATTTAATGTATTTTAATGAAAACGATTGAATCAGTACAGATCAAAAACACTCCTCAGCAAGGAACGATGGAGGCCACGGTAGTTTCTGACTTTAAAGTTGTTCTCGAAGCTTTTTTTTTAATTTACCGGCGACTTCAAATCATTTAACTGATTTTTTAATATGATCTGTTTGGTCATTAATCTCTGCAGTTCAGAATCACCATGACTTTCAGGAAACAGAGCATGTCATGTATAATGTTGGTCCTCTCAGTGCAGCACCAGGTCACAAACTGGAACTGGTTCTCCGTCTTCATGTGGATCAGCTGGAGCGGCTCAGGACCCAAGACCGGACCCAGGTCTAGGAGAGTCTGACTATGCACACGGAGCTTTTCTTTGGATCAAATTCAGTGCTTCACTTGTCTGTACCTTTAAAAAAAAAATTGATACGTTTTGTCTCTAATCCGAAGGACTTCTTCAGTCTGAGGTGCTGTATTCAGCTCAGTCTCTTAAATAGCACCTTCTCAGGGTGGATCAACCAGTTTGCTGCTGACAACTGGTTTTGGCTGTCAGCAGCAAACTGGTTGAATTAAATGTTTAGTTTAGAAATTAATTATTTAGTTTGGAAATTAAATATTTAGATTTGAAAATAAATATTTAATTTGTAACTATTTAGTTTACTAACTCAACATTTAACTTGCAATCCAAAAAAGTTCAACCTGGTCCTCTGGACATTCAACGTTTCTAATTTTTTTAATTTTTGCTTTGTTTTGTTTTTTGTTTTCTTGTTTTTTGAATGTCCAGAGGACCAGATTGAACTTTTGTGGATTTTTCTACCTGGATTATTGAGGATGTATCAGGATATTTAACTTGCAAGTTAAGTATTTAGTTTGTAAACTAAACATTTAGATTGTAAATGAAATATTTAGTTGGGAACTATGACGTTTATAAATGTATGAACATGGTGAAAATATGACTTTGAAAAAACTAAACTTTTTTTCCTTATGAAAGGCTAAATAAACCTAAAATAATAATAATATAATAATAAGGTAAGTATTGCTGTTAATTTTTGACTGTATAACTTTACAAACGGCACCCCATAACCGCCTCTCTGTCTCTGGAGCTTTGCTTGTTCTGTCTGAAGTTTTTCTCCTTACTTTGCATTTAAAGTTTTGGAACTATTTGGAACTGTTCAAAGATGAAATCAGACGTTGATCTTACATCAATTGTTGATGTAGAAACATGAAAACTGAAAAAACGTTTTGTATAAAGCTGCTTCAGTCAGAGTTACTGATCTATGCAGTCTGGCTACTGTGCTTTCTGTAGGCTTTTATTTTGAAGTGCTTATGCAGTCAGTCTACTATGCTTTCTGTAGGCTTTTATTTTGAAGCGCCACAGTACAGTTCCGTTTTCAGTCTCGTGACTGAAAATAAGACAGGTCTTGAATGTAAATCAGTCAAATTCTCCACAGAAACTGAGATAGAGGTTAAAATACAGGCGGAGACGAACATAAGTTTGTGATCAATAGATCGATGCAGAGGATCGGTGAAGAACATCCACCTGTTGATCAACCTCAGGTGAGTTGCTGTTCACGGACGTTGATGAACTTCAAGTGTCTGTCCATGAAACAACTCCCAACAGTTGAGCCTCAGATTTACTGGAAGGCAAAAGAAGACCCAGAGTCAGCTCAGGATCAAGATGGATGTTTTTCTGAGAACTCTGACTCCGGGTGTCATCTTTGTGCTCTCAGTCAGAAACAGATATATATATATATATATATATATATATATATATATATATATATATAGCTGTCAAAGTGACTGATGTCAGTTTGTCTTAGACTGATTCTGAGGAGGTTCTGAGAAAAATCAAAGGCAGTAATTTAAAGAAAAAAATGTTTTAAAAGCATCAAAAGGAAAACAGAACACAATAAAATACTAAATCAAATCACACCGTGTTAACAGTCAGAGAAAACAGATGCGTTTTTATAAGAGACTTAAGAACAGGAAGTGTTCTGTGTGATGGTGGGGAGGGGCAGATTGTTCCAAAATTTAATACACGCGCACGCACGCACGCACACATCAGACAGAGCGAGGTATCCTGATGCATGCTCAATAATCCAGGTAGAAAAATCTAAAAAAGTTCAATCTGGTCCTCTGGACATTCAAAAAAATAAATAAATAAATAAAAAATGTAGAAATGTTTCGTCTTTCATCCTGAGGACTTCCTCAGTCTGAGGAGCTGTTTTCAGCTCAGTCTCTTAAATAGCACCTTCTCAGAGTGGATCAACCAGTTTGTTGCTGACAACCAGAACCAGCTGATCACATGCTCAAGAAGGACCATCAGCCTAACAATGGATCATTAGCACCTGATGGCTGTTTACTGTTCACAGAGGGCTGAGTGATACCAGCAATCACAGCATTGTAAGAGGGGGACAGTTGAACCTGGAGGCTCCACCCCTGTTTAATGATGGACGGTTTCTTTTCACAAAGATGGCCTCCTTTACTCCTCTCTCAAACCATCGTTCCTCTCTGTCCAGGATGTGAACATCTTCATCCCTGAAAGAGTGACCGCTGGCCTGGAGATGAGTGTAGACCACAGAGTCCTGGCCTGATGATGTTGATCTTCTGAGCTGGTCCATCCTTTTGGCCAGTGGCTGTTTAGTTTCCCCAACGTTTATTTTCTAAACATAACGTCCCAGTGGCTTTTAAACCCCAAAATACATTAAAGACTGGTTCATCCCAAAGATCCAGTCCCCCGGCACAAACAGAGTAATGTTGTGTATGTTGTTCAGTGTCAGGAGGGTGATCAGTCTTACATCGGGGAAACTAAACAGCCACTGGCCAAAAGGATGGACCAGCACAGAAGATCAACATCATCAGGCCAGGACTCTGAGGTCTACACTCATCTCCAGGCCAGCGGTCACTCTTTCAGGGATGAAGATGTTCACATCCTGGACAGAGAGGAACGATGGTTTGAGAGAGGAGTAAAGGAGGCCATCTTTGTGAAAAGAAACCGTCCATCATTAAACAGGGGCGGAGCCTCCAGGTTCAACTGTCCCCCTCTTACAATGCTGTGATTGCTAGTATCACTCAGCCCTCTGTGAACAGTAAACAGCCATCAGTGTGCTAATGATCCATTGTTAGGCTGATGGTCCTTCTTGAGCATGTGATCAGCTGGTTTTGGTTGTCAGCAGCAAAACTGGTTGATCCACTCTGAGACGGTGCTATTTAAGAGACTGAGCTGAAAACAGCACCTCAGACTGAGGAAGTCCTCAGGATGAAAGACGAAACATTTCTACATTTTTTATTTATTTATTTATTTTTTTGAATGTCCAGAGGACCAGATTGAACTTTTTTAGATTTTTCTACCTGGATTATTAAGCATGCATCATGATATGGATGGATGGATGGATGGATGGTAATGAAAGGATACATCTTTGCACATTTCCTACTTGTAGACAGAGGAATGTAACTGAATGGTGTTAATAAAGTTCACCTGTATTTGATCAGTGTGAGCGTTCAGATCTGTGAGTGAAGCTGACGGAGAAGAGAAGCCTGTGATGTTGAAGGTTTGTGTTTTCAGAGGAACTGTTTCTAACAAGCTGCAATAAGTAACAAGATGAATGCTACAGAATCTCTAGAAAGCAAAATGACTGAGGACATATTCTGACAGTATTTTTATTTTAGACTGCACTAATCCGTACATTTTGTTTTTGATTATTTTTTTGTTTTTTAATCCTTTCTTACATTAGGTTTTATTGCAGTTTGAAGATAAGACATTTACAACGAAGTGTTTAAAGTTCATCAAAGACAAATTAAACAGATTCAACATTTTTAAAGAAAGAGTAAATGTATTTTCTTTGTTTTTTACAGTCACATACCCAGTAATGAAGCGTAACAGAAGTTATGATTTGCTGCCACCAGACAGTGAGTACAACTGGAGTAACTGAATTGACTGGATCTTTGTCTACGTTTCTATTTACACCATTCAATGTGTGCAGCTCAAAATTGTGTTTTAATAACTTCATTAAGCCAATTTTAGAACTCTGTTAGTTTGAAGGTAATCAGCCAATCTTATATGATTAAATTTATTTTTCCATAAATAGTATATTTTTCTACCCCAGTAACTAAATGTAGACTTAACATTCTTACATTAAATACAAGCTGTGTAATAACCAACATCTGTAATTTAGTTTTGTGTACCGTATTTTTTTGTATAAGTCACAGTTTTTTGCCTAATTTGCATGCCCTGCAACGTATACGGCAACGCAACGTATTTATGGATTTTTTTCCATATTTTTAGACCATTTTTTGGCTGAGAAATGACCGTTTCCATTCATTCTGACGAAAAAATGTTGCAGTACCATTTTCGGACACTAGAGGGCCCTCTAGGCTTTTGACGATTACTGGTGTACCTGTAGTCGTACCCCATTCTTTGTTTATTCCAGACCAGCTAAAATCCCATCATGGTGGATGGACACAGACATGATGAACGTGTGGCTCACAAAGTGCTACACAAAGCGGCCAGATGGCTGTTTTTAGAGCAAAAAGAGCCCTGCTGGTGATGGACAGCATGCGTGCGCATATCACACCGCAATTTAAAGATAAAACTGCATGCAACTCCATCCCTGCCGTCATCCCGGGAGGCTTGACAAAAGTGCTGCAGCCTCTGGACATTTATGTGAACCAGAGCTTCAAAGCAACCCTGTGCCGCCTTTGGGAGCAGTGGATGGAGGACGGAGAGCACAGCTTCACGGCTACGGGACGGATGCGCCACACGACGTTCCAGCAGGTCCTCGGCTGGATCAATAAAGCGTGGACCTCAGTCGCCAAAGAAATGATCCAGTCGGGGTTCTGAAAGGCCGGGATGTTAGCTGCAGCTGGAGCTGACGCAGAGGAGGACTCTGACACCCCCGGGGAGGAAGAGGAGGCTGTGCTACATCACCTACCTCAGGAGTTGGCAGAAGTTTGCCAGCGACACAAAGGATGAAGAATTCAATTGATTTGAATTAAAAAAATAAAATAAATATGTCTTTCTGTCATCATTATGGGCAGGTGGGCGTATAGTAATGTTAAAGACGCTTTCTTTCGTCGGCTTCATTTTGCCGTGTTTTGACCGTCAAAGTCAAGTTATTAAGGAAAAGTTCAACTGAGACACACCTTCGCTATAATTTCTTTTCAAACAGATAAATGTTTTTATGTGGTTGTCTTGTTAAATTTGTAAGGAATGCGGAGGCTCGTACAGCTGCACGTGTCCGCTTCGCAGCACCGAAACTATTTTTTGAAATTCAGCTGATTTGACCATTACCATACCACACTATTCCATACCGTACCACACTATTCCATACCATACCATTTTATTTATAGAGCACTTAAAACAGCAACAAGACCAACCAAAGTGCTGTACAGACAGAACAACAGGTAACACACGAAGCAAAATACAAAATGAGGTAAATCAGAATATAGACATAAAAATGATGCAGATAATGACGACAAACCAGTGTGGAGCATACAGGATCAAAACACAGATCCTCTGGTGTTGAAAGCTACTGAATAGTAGTGAGTTTTTAAACGGGACTTGAAAACTGAGTGGGAGGGGGCCTGTCTGACGAGCAGAGGTAACTCGTTCCAAAGTCTTGGTCCTGCTACAGAGAAGGCCCTGTCACCTCTGCGCTTAAGACGAGTTCCTGGGACTGTGAGGAGCAACTGGTCCGCTGACCTCAGGGAGCATGGTGGGACATACGGTTGTAGCAGATCAGAGAGATGGGGGGGGGGGGGGGGGGCACACTGTTCAGTGATTTGTAGACATACAGGAGTATTTTGAACTGGATTCGAAGGTGAACTGGTAACCAGTGTAGTGCATTTATTGAGGAAAAGTTCAACTGAGACACACCTTTGCTATAATGTTGAGCAAACAAATAATTGTTTTTAAGTGTTAATCTTGTTAAAATCTTCCCGTGCACGCTCCTGCGGCCGCCATTTGGCAGCCAATCCATTTTTGGCAAAACACCGGCCCACATTTCTGGGTTGTCAGCGGTGACGCGTAACATCAATCAATCAATCAAACTTTATTTATAGAACTGTTTCCAGCAGCCAAAAGGTGCACAAAGTGCTGCACAATACAGAAGTTAAAAACAAACAATTAAGAATAAAAAAATCAGCCAGTTAAACTTAAAAACTATTAAAACATAGCGAGATTGTCAAAGAACCACTAGGTATTAAAAGCCTGCCTGAATAAAAAGGTTTTAAGATTAGATTTAAAATGCTCCATGTCAGTGATGGAGCGCAGGTCCCGAGGTTGCTGGTTCCAGAGTCTGGGTGCAACGACAGAAAAGGCCCGGTCACCCCATCGTTTGTAGTTGGACTTTGGGACAGAGAGTAGACACGTATTAGATGATCTGTGTTCTCCTATATTCACGGACAGCTACAAGATCAGTCAGATACAGTGGGGCAAGACCATTGGGAGCTTTAAAAGTGAATAATAAAATTTTAAATTTAATTCTAAAATCGACTGGAAGCCAGTGGAGAGAAAATAAAACGGGGGTCATGTGCTCACGTCTGGAGGTGTTGGTTAAAAGTCTTGGTCCTGCTACAGAGAAGGCCCTGTCACCTCTGTCTCCAGGTTCTTTTTGGACAATATGGGCTTCAGTTTAGACAGCCGCCTCAGCTGGAAGAAGCATGATTTAATGATCATGTTTACATGATTAAGTTTCAGGGAAGGGTCCATTATCACTCCCAGATTGTGTTCAATCTTCACTTCATCACAGTCTCATCCTGAACAAGCACAAAGGAGACAGTGGAAAGAAAAACTCCCTTTTAACAGGAAGAATCCTCCAACAGAACCAGGCTCAGGACGAGCGGCCGTCTGCATCGACCGGCTGGGTTTGAGAGGACATTAAGGAATGGCAGGTCCAGATTATTTATTAACCTTTATTTATATGTACTTTCTATAAAAGGAAAAGCAGAAAACACATTAAGTTAGAAGTAATTACAAATACAAACAGGTAGAGTAGAACAAATAAAGACACCAGCAGAGTGAGGAAATGTGGTCAGTTTGTCCTCCAGCAGTCTAAGCAGCATAACTAAGGGATAGCTCAGGAAACCCAAGCTGAATGTACCTATAGGATTTATCATGTTCATAAATGTTGTAAATGATAAATTATATAATTTATATGTTGTGTGTATTTTTACAAATATTAATAATAAATTATATCTTGTTGATGATGTGTATATTATGTGTATATATATACATATATATATATATATATATACTGTATATATATGTATATGTATATGTGTGTGTGTGTGTGTGTGTTCAAACAGTAAATATAACAATATATTATAATAATATAATAATAATAATAATAATATAATATGATTTATCTGTTTAAATAAAGGTTGAATGAATGAATGAATATTGATTGGGCAGGTTTTTGTGTGATGGGGAGGTTTTTAACAGACTAAGTTCCTCAGCTTAACTTCCAGAAAGTTTCCAGAACATTTTCTACCACGTTGCAACCTATTCATGACTTCATGGTAATAAAATGTATGTTAAATAATCTATCTCTATTTCTTTCCAGTGTCGGTGCTGAGAGTTGGTCTCCTGGGAAATAGCTGGTCTGAGAGGAGTTCAGTGGCGAACTTTCTACTGGGAGAAAAAAAAACGAGTACCGATGAAGAGCCAGAAGTCTGCGTACAATCCACAGGACACGTCAAAGACAAAACAATAGTTCTCATAAACACACCAAATATGTTACTTAGTGATATTTCTCTTGAAGACTTGACAAAACATGCAGAAACCTGGGTGAGCTTATCTGATCCTGGACCTCATGTGCTCCTGTTGGTTCTGCAGCCCGAGGATTTCACTGATCAACAAAACCAAAGACTAGAATCAATTCTTGGAAACTTGAGTGATCAAGCATTTGACCACTCAGTTGTTCTGGTGTCAAAACCCAGAATGGGAAGTTCTAGTTCTGTTGAACAGTACATGCAGCAGCCACCTTTGAAAGACATTGTCCAGAAATGTAAAGCCAGCTTGGTGTGGCCGAAATATTGTGATCAACAGCTTCTATTAGAAACCATAAGCCAAATGATGACGGAGCTGAAAGGAGAACATCTGATCTGTGATATTTACAAAGAGCCATCCCAGAGTTTACCCACTGGTGATCAACCAAGAATAAAAACACAAGAATCAAAACATCACAAGAACTTGGAACCTGGTGAGTGCAGGAATTCTTTATAAACTTTTATAAGCACAACCTGATCATGTTCGATCTCGGACAGGTTTGACCTTTCCCCTTTGGAGGAGGAAACTGTTTTGATCCTTCTTCCTTTGCTCAGCAAGACTAGCACAAAATAAGTTCAGTAAAAATATTAAGCAGTGAGTACAATCTGCTCCCAGCCTGGACTTTTATAGCAGGGCAATTCAACTCAACTTGTCAGGGGGCCACAGTTACTGGAAGCCAGCAGCTCAGGGTTCAGTTCATCCAGCAAGTCATTATGTAAATAAACCAAGCATTATCTAAAAGAGTTAAGTCAGGTCCTCTGGACGGGTTAAAAAAAAGTAGAAATGTTTTGTCTTTCATCTGAAATACTTCTTCAGTCTGAGGAGCTGTATTCATAAGTTATCAGACTCATCTCTGAATGGACAGAAAAACTCACATGATTCTAAATTAATTTGACATCAGTGTGAAATACATCCATGACCTTTACATAATCTTACCACATCAGTCAGGCAGGAATCCCCGTGGACGATGATGTTTGCAGATGACATAGTGATCTGTGATGAGAACAAGGAACAGGTGGAAGAGAACTTGGAGAGGTGGAGGTATGCGCTTGAAAGAAGAGGAATGAAAGTCAGCCGTAGAAAGACAGAGTCCATGTGTGTGAATGAGAGAGAGGAGGTGGAACAGTGAGGCTACAAGGAGCAGAGGTCACAAAGGTGCAGGACTTCATGGACTTGGGGTCCACTGTCCAGGAACATGGGGAGTGTGGTGAAGAGGTGAAGAAGAGAGTCCAGACAGGATGGAGTGATGGAGAAAAGTTTCAGCAAAGGTCAAAGGAAAAGTTTACAAGACAGTGGCGAGACCAGCTATGTTATATGGTCTGGAGACAGAGACATGGACAAAAAGACAGGAGACATAACTGGAAGTGGCAGAAATGAAGATGTTGAGGTTCTCCTTAGGAGAGACAAGGATGGAGAAGATCAGAAATGAGATCTTCAGAGGTACAGCACAGGTTGAACAACTGGGAGATAAAGTTAGAGAGACCAGACTGAGATGGTTTGGACACGTCCAGAGGAGGGACAGTGGTTTGGACATGTCCAGAGAAGGGACAGTGGTTTGGACTTGTCCAGAGGAGGGACAGTGGTTTGGACATGTCCTGAGGAGGGACACTGGTTTGGACATGTCCAGAGGAGGGACAGTGGTTTGGACTTGTCCAGAGGAGGGACAG